TTTTTATTATTTCATTCATACTTTTAATTGTATTTTTATACTATATATAGACACGTATTTCTGCTGGTCTTGTGTACGAGAAAAAGGAATAAATATTAATATATATTAATTATATAATTAATAAATATAAAAAAGAAGAAAAAAAGAATAAAAAAAAGAATAAAAAGAATATAAATAATAACAACTTACTCTCCATTACCTCACGAAGGGAACCAGGAGGTGAATTATTCATAAAATATTGAATAGCAGCACGAGCATTTTCTTTATTTATTTTTATATTTAATTCATTTTCTTCTTCTTCTCCCCCATTAATTTGTTTATTTTCTGTAGATAATTCTTCTTCTTCCTCTAAATTCATTTTATATATAAAAAAAGAATAAAAAAATAAACTTTTTATTCCTTATTTCTTACTGATTATTAGTATATATATAATTGGCAAGACGCAGCAATATATTCAATATATTTATCCACTTTTATGTATTCCTGATGATATAGGAGTCTAAATAAAGAGAAAAAAGGGTATAAAAATAAATAAAATATAATTTTCTATAAAATTCATGTAAATTCCTTCATAATTATTCATTTATTTAATCAAAAAAGACCCATTTACTGCATGCTCCTTGTTGAGGGGTCGCCGACGAACAAGAATGAGGAAAGCTGCACATACACCCGGAGAGTGGCTAGTGAGTAAGCTGATGATTCGTCAGCACTTTTATATAGATATTTATGAATAAAATTGTTTAAATTAATTAAATTTATATATATTTCTTCTTTATTATACATATTATTCAAAAAAAAATACAATATCTTTCTTTTTTTTCTCCCCTTTATTCATATATACAGGTCCATCATAGGACTGCTAGCTCAGCGTCTCGGGTCAACAGCAGCAGCAGCAACAGCAGCAGCAACAACAACAAGAGAAGCATCGATCTTCTTCTCTTGTTGTGTTTGTTGATTTATCCTTCTTCTTTTATTTATTCATAATTATATTCTTCTCCTTTGTTGTGTTTTTTTTTATTTATATTTTCTCCTTTCTTACATGACGCCTTTATTTCCCTGCTTTGTTGCAGCAGCCTCCCGTTAGCGGTTGTGTCGTTGCTGCTCATCCAGCAGCAGGCTAGCAGCAGGGAAAAGGAGGTTATTCTTGTTTCTTTTTTTATTTTTATCTTTAAATATAATTTACTATTTTATTTTCTTATTTAATATCTTATTATTTAAGAAAAATAGCCGCGGATACACTCCTTTTAGGGGGGTTAACCACCACCACCGTATCTTCGATGCATCCGGTGCTGCAGCAGCAGCAGCAGCAGCAGCAGCAAGATCATCATTAATTGCTTCCTTTGCTGCAGCAGCAAATATTTCTTATATAGTCTCCGTAGATGGCGGCAAAGTTTGTTGTACCACCATCAGCAGAGGGGCCCTCCTTCTCCCCTTCTTTTATTCATGAGAGGGCCCCTTCTTTTGCATCTACAACAAAGCAGCAGCAGCTGCAGCAGCTGCAGCAACAGCAGCAGCTACGCAGCAGCAGCAACACAATACAAGATCCTTTACCGTTGCATCTCCGTAGCAGCAGCAGCAGCAGCAACAGACCTTCTCCTTATGATAATATAAAGGGAGCAACACCTCCTTCCTTATCAAGGATAAATACACAAGGATATTCATGGGGAAAAGGATTAAGTACTGCAACAGCAGCAACAGCAGCAGCAGCAGGAGCACCAATAATAGAAGGAGAAGGAGGATTTGCTGCTGTATCTCCAGCAGCAGCAGCAGGAGGAGAAGAAGGATTGAATTCTTTACCTATTATACCCTCCCGTGAGATAACTATACCTACAGCAGGTTGCTGCGCTCCTGCAGCAGCAGCAGCAGCAGGAGCAGCAGCAGGACCTATATCATTATCATCAGCAGCAACAGCAGCAAAAACAGCAGCAGAATGTGAAGCAGCAGCAGCAGCAGCAATAGCAGCAGAAATAAATAATGGTAAATTGCATGCATATATACCTAGTAAATTTAAATATAAATTCCCTATAAATAAATTACCTAGACATAGTAGCTATGAGGTATTAGCTATAGAGGATAATAATAATAATAATAATAATAATAATAATAATAATAATTATTCTTCTTCTTTTTCTTCCCCTTTTTTATTTAATCATTATTATCTAAATAATAATCAACATAAAAAACATATTCATAAAAAAAAATCCATCTTTGGTATACCTAAAAGAGTACAGCAGCAGCAGCAGCAGCAGCAGCAGCAGCAGCAGCAGCAGCAGCAATTGCAGCAGCAGCAATTGCAGCAGCAGAGGCATAACTATCCATTACATCAACAATTTAATAGTATGAAGAGAACAGACAGAGAAGTATCAACATCTACTGCAGCAGGAGGAGGAGTAGGTGTAGAAGATACAGCAGCAGCAGGAGCAGCAGGAGCAGGCAGCAGCAGCAGCAGCAGCAGCAGCAAAGGATGGATGACAGATTTTCGTTGTTTTTTATGTACAAGTATAGATTATGTTAGTGATAAAGAAACACAATTAGAGATAGAGAAGAATGAATTAGAGGAAGCATTAATTGAATATAAGGAGGATAATTGCATGCATATATTATTATTGCAGCAGCAGCAGCAGCAACAGCAGCAACTGCAGCAGCAACTGCAGCAGCAGCAGCAACAATATGAAGAAAAAAATAAATTCATCAAAATTACACAACAAGAATTACAACAAATACAACAACAAAGAGATCAACTGCAGCAGCAACAGATACAGTAAATTAATTAATTAAATAAATAAATAAATAAATTAATTAATTAATTAATTAATTTTGTGTCTTGTGTGTTATTTGCATGCATTAGCTGCTGATGGTGCTGATGCTCTTGCTGCTGCTCCTGTTGCTCCTGCTGCTGCTGTTTGTTTATATCTATAAGGAAGCATAATCTATTTCTCCTTTTGTGCTGCTTGTGCTGCTTGTGCTGCTGCTGCTGCTGTTGCTGCTGCTGCTGTTGCTGCTGCTGCAGGACGGAGAAGTCTTTGGCTCTTCTTAGAGAACGATTAGATAAAAGCATGACTACTCTATTACAATCAGAGGTATATTTACTTATTTATTTATTTATTTATTTATTTATTTATTTATTTATTTATTTTATTTATTTATTTATTTATTTAATTTATTTATTTATTTTATTATTTATTTATTTATTTTTCCTCTTTTTTTTGGTGTATATTGTGCTGCTGTTGCTGCTGTCTTCCCTTATAGTAATCTCCCTCCCTTTTCTTTATTATACTCATTTGCTGCTCTCCCTTGTGCTGCTGCTGCTGCTGTTGCTGCTGCTGCTGCTGCTGCTGCTGCTGCTGCTGCAGCCAAAGTCTGTGGAGGTATTTGCGGAGAAATTACAACAACTTTATCTTGGCGTTAATGAGGTCATGGCTAATGCCTTCCCTGCAGGTAATTTATTTATTTATTTATTTATTTATTTATTTATTTATTTATTTATTTATTTATTTATGTCCTTTTTGTTCTTATTGCATGCATGTTGCTGCATGCAGCATTTGGTGTTTTTTTTCGTTTTTTTTTTGTTGTTTGTTGCTGCTACAGGATCTGCTGTTGCGACTGCAGCAGCAGCAGCAGCTGCAGCAGCAGCAGCAGCAGCAGTAGCTCGGCGTGAGAATTCTGCTGCTGCTGCTGCTGCTGATACTGGAGGTCCTCCTATAGGTAGCCCTAAGGTACCATCGAAGACAGCAGCAGCAGCAGCAGGAGGAGGAGCAGCAAAGAAGAAGAAGAAGAAAGGAGTAAAGAAGACAACAGGAAAGAAGAAGAAGACAACAGCAGCAGGAGCAGCAGCAGCAGCAGCAGCAAAGAAAAAAAAAACAAAGAAGACAGCAGCAGCAGCAGCAGCAGCAGCAGCAACAAAGAAAAAGACTTCCTCTATTAAGACAAATAAAAAGACAAAAGGAAAAACAATTAAACAAAGACAGGTGAAGAAAAAGGGCACACAGGCAGCTGTAGCAGCAGAAGCAGCAGCAGCAGCAGCAGCAGCAGCAGCAGCACCTGCAGCAGCAAGCAGCAAACAGGAATTGGCTCCTTCAGTGTCATCTGCTTCTATTCGTCTCAGTCAGGAGGCCGGCCTACAACCAATAAAAAGTAGCAGCAGCAGCAGCAGCAGCAGCAGCAGCAGCAGCACTGCTGTTGGATCTCTGCAGCAGCAGCAGCAGCAGCAGCAGCAGCCGCAGCAGAAACTCCAGCTGCTGCTGTATCCAACAGTAGATAATAAACCTGCAGACAATGATGCTGCAGAGGAGTTGCTGCGTGCACGTTTAGCTCTGCAGCAGCAGCAGCTGCAGCAAGTGCAGCAGCAGCAGCAGCAAGTGCAGCAGCAACTAGAGCAGCACCAGAAGCAGCAGCAACTGCAGAAGCAGCAGCAGCAGCAGCAGCAGCAGCAAGTGCAGCAGGAGAGGAGACAGGTCTCAGATGTCTTGCCTCGTAGAAGCGAAGTAAACAAATCCATACAAGGAGACAGCAGCAGCAGCAGCAGCAGCAGCAGCAGCAGCAGCAACAGCAGCAGCAGGAGATTGCAGCCTAACCTCAATGAGAAGATAGCAGCAGCTGCAGCCGGCCTAAAAAGTCAGCAGCAGCAGCAGAAGCAGCAGCAGCAGGAGGAGGAGCAGCAGCAGCAGCAGTACCTTCCTCTGCATGCAGCAAATCGGTCTGCTTCCTCTCCTGTTGTTTTCCCTAGCAGAAGTACAACCCCCCGCAGTACGCCCGTCCCTACAACCAGCAGCAGCAGCAGCAGCAACAACAAAAACAACAGCAGCAGCAGCAGCAGCAGCAGGAGGAGCAGCAAAGAATTGGATATAATTCGTAAGAATTCATTAGGTCGTCTTTTTTTATTAAAAAAAGAAATTTCTTTGCCCTCTTTTATTCATAAATTTAATCATAGGGCAGCTACTATGCCTACTCACCATTAATTGCAGCAGCAGCAGCAGCAGCAGCAGCAGCAGCAGCAGCAGCAGCAGCAGCAGCAGCAGCAAGAGCAGCAGCAAGAGCAGCAGCAAGAGCAGCAGCTGTAGTAGTAGAAGCAGCAGCAACAAAAAGGGCGCTGCACAAAAAGCGGGGGAAAAAAAGATACAGGAGATGCAGCAGCAGCAGCAACTGCAGCAGCAGCAGCAGCAGCAGCAGCAGCAGCAAATTATTGCTGCGCAGCATGCGCTGTCTGCTGCCTCTAACACTAAATAAATAAAATAAATAAATAAATAAAATAAATAAATAAATAAATAAAATAAATAAATAAATAAATAAATAAATAAAATAAATAAACAAAGAAAGGCAATAAAAGATGCCATTTGTTTATTAACTTCTTTTCTCCTTTTTTTTATAACTTTGTTTGTTTATTTATATTTATATTTATATTTATATATTTATATTTAATTATTTATTTTATTTATTTATTTATTTATTTACTTATTTATTTATTTATTTATTTAGTTGTTTATTAGTTATTTATTTATTTAGTTACTCCTTTTTTTTGTCTATTTTTTTGTGTTTGTTTTTTGCCTATAAATAATAAATAAGCTGCTGCTGCTGCTGCTGCTGCTGCTGCTGCTGCTGCTGCTGCTGCTGCTGCTGCTG